GCGATTTAGGCTTCGATATGTTTTCGCTTATGGCGCGACGACAGCGCTGCCACAAATGCTCTTTATAAAAACTTTTTACTTTTATTAATATCTGGTTCCGGTCTGATTTATTTATTTTTAATCTAATAGTACAGAAATAATTATTAACCTTATCATTTTTCACAACAAATTAACTTCCCCGCTATGAAATCTGTCAAATATTACACCTCATTTTTAAGTGGCGACGCCCTGATGGTGTTGACAGGCATGTTACTTAAGGTTCAGATACACACGTCATTCCATTTAATTTTTATAGTACTAGATTTAGTAGTACTAGCGTTAACGATTGTAGTAAGTATACTTGGCTAACCCCGCTAAGGTTATTATTGTGTTCCAAAACATAAGCAATGACATCATAAAACACCTAAAACGTTCACTAAACACGTATCTATAAAGAAATTTACACAGCTCACTAAAAATTCTGCTCTTCTGGCTGCTCATTCGGATGTTATTTTTTTAAACATAAGAAAATCATAAGGATTAAATTTATTAAAATATTTTCGGCCGAAAGTCACGTATCAATTGTTTTATCACAAGTTGAAGTTCGTCATCCGTAGCAAAATTGGAATTAACACAAAAAGCGTAACAAATAAAGCGATGATTTCTTATGATCATAAAAGTTCACTCTCTCCGCAAGATTGCACTGCTCGTCTTTAAAATGCTTTTGAAAGGGAAGCACCTGACTTAAGCACTGTAAGGCGTTAGTACGCAGAATCTGATCATGGCCGTGTTTCTCTAAATAATGACTTGGTGACGGACGACCCTCAGCTGCTATCACTGAGGCTATTGTTAGCTAATTGAAGAAAACCGACGCATCGCCTATTAGGAAATTCGAGAACATTTAGGTATTAGTATGAACCAAATTTAAAGGAAAAAATTACCATCATCATTAAAAAGTTAGTAAAACTTTGTAGCCGATGGATTCCTGATGAACTCAGCTCCAAATAAGACAAGCTCGATTTGATTCATCAACATCATCATGAAAAATTCAAAAGTTTCCGTATTTTACCGAGAAACATTCGGCCTATATAAATTCATGCACCCTAAAATTCAATAACCCAAAGGCTATTGGAATTTGGGGGAGGGTCTGTAATATTAAGGGCATTAAAAACATATAAAACTCTTACTACTCGACAGGTCCTGTGTGCAAAATCCCACTTAATGAACAAAAGCAGTTAATGCTAAATGGCACACCACCATTTGTTTGCCCAGTGTCTTAGAAAAAGTTAGGAAAAAACGACCAAGCAGTCGCAACCTATTGCACTATAACAATGTTTCAGTGCTCATCCTGAACGTATAAAGTCATTTTCTGATTCTGAAAAGGTGGAGCTAGTAATTTCTTTATTTTTCCAAAAATTAAAGATTTGATGAGAGCTTTGATATATATGGAGCGAGAAGAGACCGTGATAGTTTTTGACTAGCACGTGAAAAACATGTTCTCAGACCAATGGTCTCTGAATTTTAAAAAAAAGTTTGAACTAATGAAAAAGTGTTAAAATGTAATGGAGAATACTTTGAAAGGTAGTAAATATATTAGTTCACATAAAAACTGTTATATTTATGAGTTACGCAAAACTTTCAGTGTACTCTACGTATATTTAAATTATTCTCATTAAAATTTAATAAATAATATTTATATTTAACATTCTATTAGCGTACTTCCGCCGTTAGCTTCAAAGTTAGTATTTTAAAACCATCCGAAGTTTATAAAGGTTGGCTATCTCAGTAATCTCACTGATTAAGATTTTTTATTGCAATGTCTCGGTTTATAGCACTGTAAATCTAGAATGCTATTTCATGCATCACCGGTTTCCTTCAAGAGAGCTTTGTTGAATTTATACTTTGTTATTTATAAGTTAGTATAACAATGTAGAAATTTGTACAACCCATTATCATTCATCATTACCTACAAAAAGTGCACCGCTAAACATAGGCCTCCTTCATAGATTGCTGCATGATGTGCAGGTCCACCACCTGCACATCATGCAGCAATCTATGAAGGATGCAGGTGGCTTGGCAATCGCAGTTTCTTATTTTCTATATGTTATTAAGAAGACGCCGCTGCTCATCTCCTTGTTAGTTTTCCTCTGCCTTTCAACATCCACGGGACGATATCGGATAGTGGATATTCTAACATCGCCACTACGTGGGTATATAAAAGGGGGACTGCCTCATTGGTCTAGCGGTTTTAGTAGTGCGACTGCTGATCATGAGGTCCTGGGTTAAAATCCCGGGTCGAGTCAAAAAATCAATTATTGAGTTTTTCTGTCAAGAAATTCTCAGTAGCTGCCCGGAGTCAGGAAGTTGGCGGTGTCTCACCCCCGTTCCTCGGAAAGCACGTAAAGCCGTTGGTCCTGCGCCTGATCTCTCTCCGGTCGTGTCGGTTTACCGTCCCATCGGATTATGAGAGTGAGGGAATAGAGAGTGCACCTGTGCTTGCGCATACACTTGGGCACTATAATCCTGTCCTGCGCCGTTAGCTAGCCTCCGTTGACGCAGGCCGCCGTAGCCGAAATTCGGTCTGGTGGGCATTATTATTATTATTATTATTATTATTATTATATAAAAGGGGAAAGTAAGTTTTTACGTGGTAGAGGCATGCTGTAACCATATTATGTACCGCGAATTAATATATCTAATACGCTCTCACAGAATACCAGCGTAAAATAGCAACTTAATGCTGCTGTGTTTCGTAAGATGAATGTAGAGAACCAAAGACCTTTTTTAATGGAAACGAGCATTCCATCTTAGTCCTCATGGGTGACAACGGATTTGTACTTTGATTCTTAATTGATAACGCAATGCAATTGATACACAATATTCTTTCAAAACATATAAGTATACGAATATTCCGAGTATTGTAATAAAAATTATTCAAATGAGATTTTTTTCAAATACTCCGATAAAACAATTAGATTTAAATTTCATACTGCTTTGCTCTATACTTTTGTAGGGCTAAGTGCTCGCTGTTTTCGAAGTACACATGGGTAAACTGAATTCGATCACTTGTAGTCGTATTGATTGTTAATTCCAATTTTAAGTGCTGATTTACCACGTGTTTAGTGGTAAAGGAAAACTTCGCAAGGATTATGTGAAGTCCGCCAACACCCTCTGAAATAGTGCAATGGACTAATTCCTCCATAGCCCTTTTAGAAATAAGAGAAGCCTTATACCCAGCAGTCGGACCTAGATAGGCTACAACTCTTACGACAACCTCGGCAGGATATAGAGTAGTAGATATTTTTACACCGATCACGAAACTGTCTTAAAAGAAAATATGAGACTCAATGGTCGTTATTACTCAATAACCCTTGTATTTAAAGTTGGTTCTGGCTTTCTGGTTCTGTCTCCGTGATTGTCAAAACGAAAGTCATTTTCATCGTGTCCTTGTTTAAAGATTATGATGATTTATTAAGCTATTGCATAGCTTCTATCGCAGGCCTTGAGCGCGGGGACCGAATCCAGAAATTCCGTAACGAAAAAAACCTCACGCTCCCCACTCCGACGGGCACGGAGGTGTGGCGTTGAAAGCCGTGCATCGTCTAACGTCGTTTTAGTTCGGCAGACTTCGGCACTCGGCAGAGTTCGGCATGGTGTTTGTGTGCGTGCGACTAGACGTATGCGTGTACACTAGCTGCTAACTGAATGATAAAAATTAATAACCTACTGAATAACCTACATGTACTGTAAGATATTAAAAATATTTTGAACAATATTAACTCACCACTCTCAAAAAGTGTAACTTGATTTAATATCAAAGACTTAACTGCATAAATAAAATAAATAAATAATTATAATTGCGTAAGTTGATAAAAAATGCTATGCAATAGCTTTACCGCGGCAGTCACCGAGTGCCACACGTATTTTTTTTGATTATTTATTAAAAGTTAAATGTATAACACCGGAAATTTATCTTAGAGCATTGCTTTTTACTGTCCACTTTCATCTCTCATACTTCATCTTTTCATCGTAAAAGTTCACTTTCGGATATAGGCCTCCAGCGTTGTAAATACGTCTGTCTTAGCAGGCATATTGACAATGGCAGTACCAGACGTTTTGCCCTTCACTGATCTCGGTATTTTACATCTGGCGTAAACTTGGATGATTATATCGCCACCTGCCGGAAGATTATTTAGTATACACACCTCATTATGAAGTTATACTATGATATATAATATATCATGATATACTATATAGATGATATGAATCCTTTTCTGCCCAGCAGTTCGTTTGAGTAAGTTCCACGGTCTTACCTATATCAGCCGCCATACAGCAGCGCTTGCACTGCTTTGTTACAGTCTTAATGCTATAGCATTCCATCTTAGTCCAGAGCGATGACAATACGTGTGTAGCTTTCTTTGATTGAAGATAGCTGCAGGTGTCCATGGGATGGAATGTAACAGCTATTCTTTACGTCGTAGAGCCATGCTGCAGCTACGTTACTGGTAAAGTTGTAGCACGAATGGGTGGGCTCAACCGGGGAAGGACCACGCTCTCACAAAATACCAGCCTAAAATAGCAGCTTAACGCTACTGTGTTTCGTATAGTAAATGTAGAGAACCGGAGACCCTTTTTACTGGAAACGTGGTATTCCATGTTAGTTCTCACGGGTGAGACAACGCATCTGCATTTTTATTCGTAATCGAGGATAGATGTAGATGTATATGGGATCACAGCAACCACTTAACATCTGGTGGATTGTGTGCTCGTTTGTCACCTTTATCCTATTAAAATAAAAAACTTACCATCAGCTGGACTGTAAGTTTGTTTGAAATTCAGTTTTATATTTATAAAAAAAAACTATGATTGCATGTTTGAGATTAGGTATACAAGGCGTGGAATACATGCAATAATGTAAAAACAACATTATTATAAAATATGAAATTCGAAAACGAATTCAAAAGTAATAAATAAAACATTTTGTTGCACCTTTGTTACATTACACCTTTCTCTTGTTTTAGTGATTTTCTCGAACGAAGAACAGAAACAAACAGTATTGCAATGGCTGTCAGATTATGGTCCTGTACGTGTAGACGACTTGAGTACAGTATGGAGGAATGGTTGGATTTTGTGCGGCGTTCTCGATACTGCACTTCCTGGTGCTTGTGCAGGCCACCCTCCTAGTAGCCTCTCAGTGAGGCACGCTCAATCAATAGCCGACCACTACCTCGGCGTCGAACCGGTCGGTAATTTATTTCTATCTTTACTCGGTAATTATTTATTTAAAACTAATAATTAACATATACCTACATTCCTTTAACAGGTGTTTTCCCGTGAGGAACTTGAGTCAAATGATACACTAAGTAAAAATCAAGAATGGAGGCTCACTACATATTTAGACCACTTACGTCAAGCTTTATCGAAAATTACTCCTCCTGTCACAAAACCAAGCTTAGAAAAGACATATCCGGAGAACACCCAATTTACTCTCGATTATATAGCAAGAGGTTCAGGATTGACTGCTGCCCAAATAAATAGACCTATGTATTTTAAAATATATCCAACGTCGCAACAATCTATAGATCCTGGAGAAATAACAATTACAATTAAAGGTCCGGAAGATACATACGGCATGAAAGTTGTCCCTCCATTATTAGGTAAAGCGCAACTGATAAGGCAGCAATTGCTGGATGTAAGATCACAAACGAGTTACACAGAAAATGCACTACCTTTAGCACATGGCGCCACATATTTTCGCAGTTATGGAAAAAATGATATGACAAAAACATATTATGTACCTAAAACAAAATATAATATCGATATTGACGTGGAATTGACTACAGATCACGTAAAGATAGGCTACATTGCAAATTTAAAAGGTAAATACACGATCTCCATTACAAGTAAAGGTCAAAATATAATCGGATCACCTTTTACAATAACATCTTCAAATAATATACTGGGACTACTAGAAAAAGAAAGTTTTTGCCTTGAAGACGGAGAAGAAATAGATATAGTCGATGTAAAGACAGATAGAAAGGTTGTTCTACGAATTGTGGACTTCGTAACGGAAAAAATGCTACTGAAGGAAAACGGTACTTTGGAAAAAATCAGCGAGGAAGAAGCTAAGTACCTGATGGAAAATGACGTCAAAATAGAAAACATACCAAATCTTAATACCCGCAACCTAAGTAATATCCCTTCCATAGAATTTAATGAAAGTTACAAGAAATTCAATAAATTTAACGAAATCGCTAATAAAGTTTTAAAAATGAATAACATTTGTAAAGTGTTCCGCGACTTAAGTAATGATAAGGAAATGGTATTAAAGAAAGGAGATGTAAATTTTCAGACAATGAATCAACAAGACATTCCGGACATTGTGAATTCTACACTTAATGAAATAAATGTAAGCTCATTAATGTTAACAAATAAGCAAGATAAAATTATTATTCCAGAAAAAATTTCTGTGTCAATTTTAACTGAAAGAACAGAATTTAATGAAACTGACAATTCCGGAAATAATAATAATGTCTCAGATAAAAAAGATGAAATAACACAATTTAAAATATTACGTGACACTTCACTGGAAAAAGATGATACATCAATGCATGCTGTATTATCGCCAAGTAATCCATTTCTAACTGAATCGCATAATTTGTCTAATAAGAAAAGCTTGGGTGAATGTACAACTTCTAAGAGTGAATCAAAAGAACAGACATGTGATACTTTAATGAAAAATGCTGTTGAAGAATCTGAACCTTTAATAGATAGTAACCCTTTCATTGATTTTGATATTTTAGAAGCTGACCAACCCAAACCTCCAGTATTTAAAATTATTTCAGAGTTTTCAACTTATCAAGACGATTCAATAAATGTAGATTCCATTCCCCACAATAATATGACTAAAAGGATCGATAACGACCTTTTAAACCCATTTCAATCAAGCAAAAACCAATTTTCAAGCGATATCGAGCAAAATCAATTTTCAAGTTTGCCCGTGACTGATTTTGTTATAGGTGCGCCTGTTTCCTTGCCTCCAAACATAAAATCTGTTTCACATGAAACAGATACGGAAACTATTGGAAAGGTATACAATGAAAATACGATTATTCCTTTAGGTGTTCTTAATCCTACTACGCAACCAAAAATACAATCCTACGACGTAATAAAAAATAACAGAAATACAGAGTCTGACCAAACTGAATGTTCCAGCATTAATTCAAATATAACTGACGAAATGAATGACGGCAATGCTTCTCCCAAAAAAGAACTGCGAGATTCTGCATATGTAAGTATAGATGAAAATCACACATCACCAGATAATAATAATAATGAGAACAATACATCCAAAGAAACACAAAGTAAACAAAAATGTTTAAACACACAACATATCCCTTTAAACATTGGCCCAGCTGAAAGAGAATTATGGGAAAACTGTACAGAATTAAAAGAAGATAACTGTAATAAAATTCATGATGAAACTACAAAACTTAACAAATGGGATTTAAAAAAATTGCAATTTATGCCAATTTTTGAAGAAATCGATAAAAAAGTTTCTTCAGACATGAAGGAAGCAAAATCTGAAAAGGCTGACACTGATTCAGTAACATCAGCCTTTGCCGAAATAAATGAAATGTATGATGACTATTTTCCAAGTTCAGAAAAAATTAGTTCAACAAACGAAACTAAAAACCATAACAGCTTGGAAGATCTATACGAAACTGAAAACAAGAACGAATATGTCAAATCTGCATCTGAGAAAGAATCAGATGTGATGAGACATGGAAAACAAATAGGGGGAAAGATTTCTGAGATTCAGGCACATGTTACTGAATCAGTTTCAGTAAGTCAGACCCTTCATGTCGATAAAAACGAGGATAGCGATGAATTTTCAAATCGTGATGAAGTAAAGTTTAGAGATAAAACGTACACAAATATAGTTCTGGAAAAAAAGAAATATTGGGATGAAAAAATACGGCTGATAGAAGCAAAAGATGAAGAATCAAGAGCACAGCAAAAGAAAAGGCGTCTTTCTGCAAAACAATTAAGACATAATGATTCCCTCAGTAAAAGAAGAGGCAAACAAATTGTAAAAAAATATCTCAATGCTAATGAAAGTATTCAAAATCAAAATAAAGTGAATGACATTCAACAGGTAGAGGTAATAAAATATAATAGTAAAATATCACAAATTGATGAAGACTACAAAGGTGATAAAAAGCGGGTCAAAAATTGGAAAGCATTTTGGGATAACAAACTAGAACGTGAAAATAATGAAACTCAGATATCTTGCTTTAGAACAAATTCTCCAAAAACCCGATCTAGTTCTACAATTAAAAATGATAATGTTGATGAAACTGATATAGATTCCAAAACCCAAGCTAATAATTCAAAAACTACGTTGCCAGTAAAACAAGAAATACCAGAAGAAGTGTTCAAAGCGTTTGAAACGAGCCCTAAAAGGTTTTTTGGAACATCTAGAAAACAAATTTTAAATAAAATTGACACTTTTTTAGGAAAACCAAATGCCGTAGAAGAACCTTTGATTGACAATACTAAAGAAACTTATGAAAGTGGTTTGGTATCCAGTCGAATTTCTTTGTTTCATAACATATCTCAAAAAGAAGAGATACCTCTTCCTTGGACACAAAGAAAAAGTCAGTCGTCGCTTAACATAAATCCCCAAAATGATAATTTAAGTGAAAATTATAATAACACTATTTTAAACAACTCAACAAGATACGGTAAAGAAAAATCTGAAAGTGTTAATCATTCACCATCCTTACATGAACAAACAATAAATAATGAAAATCCCTTACCAGAGGCAGTTAAAAGTGTTTCATTGAATGAAAAACGATCTCGAATAACTAATCAATTGTACACTAAGAGCACTGACGAAACTAGTTACCACAGATTTGAAAATGATTTCCCACATCAAGATTCTTATGTTCAAAAAACTGTTAAGTTTATAAATACACAGCAGCCAGACCAGGCAATTAATAATTCTAATAACGTTTACAACCTATCAAACAGTAAATCAGAAATGGATATATTCAATAAATTTGCAAATAGGTCGCACGATGAAGACTTCGATAAATACAAGTCGTATGATGAATTACCAAAAATTAATGTCAAAAGCTTTATATCGCTATATGAAGACGTCTCGAAGAGTTCAGAGACAAAACCCATGAGAAAATCTAATAACACAAGTCTTGAAGGTTCTGTGAATCCGTTCAAACCTACGAGTTCAATTTTTGGTATGTATGCATATTATATATTTGTGTATGTATGCATATTATTTATTTTTGTATGTATATATCGGTCGCCCGCAGAAAACAACGGTGGTCTTTATTTTTAAGGAAACCGCTTAGCGAGCGTGCGTACTATCAACTGGTCCTTACCTATTCGTACTATCAGATTTAATGCTAAGATTGTAGATGTTCCTAAATCCAATACAACTGTATGAAAACTGAATAATGAATTAAAAATTTATCATACTTACATACAAAACAAAGAACCAAATGGGTTCTTTGTTTAGTGATGAGTTTTCACTAATCACTCCGGTTGATACTCGAAGCTTGAATATGAGGCTGGCTGGATCGGTCCACTTTTCCACATAGTATTTATATGAAACACAATGCTCATATTTTTCAACATTTTTCATTTATTGTTGCTAAGGTAATAAACCATAGCTGTTAAATGTTTTATTGTTAATACGCCTATAGGAACTAATATTTCCAAATTAATTTTAGGAACTCCTGATAAAAAGAAACCCTTCGAAAATAATGTAAGCTTAAAAAAACAAAACAGTACAACGGTAGATGAGACAAATACTCATCAAAGTGAATTAACGGGTAAAGTAAATTTACAAGGCTCTTCATTTAATAGTGCAGAAAATTTAAAAACAAAGGACGATTCATTTGAAAGCGAAAATATTTCTACTAACGATTTCGAAAAAGAAAATACATATATAAGCCTGTCAGATATTGAATTAGAAATAGTAGATAATCTTTCAGAAAGATCTGTTGAAATGTCACCAGAAAGGGATGTTGATATTGCTCCAGCCGACTATAAATCTCGGTTCAAAATGGCAAAAGAATACTTTCAGTCCCTGGAGGAACTCAGGGTAACAAAGAAACCAAACAAGTTAAACGAATGCGAACTGTTATTGTACAATAAGTCAACAGAATCTCTCACAGAAAACAAACAAATTAAACAGCCTAAAAAGAAATCTAAATCACATACGATGCCATCATCACAAATCTCTGAATATTTCAATCAGTTACAAGAACAACAGAATGAAAATAAAGACCACAAACCTATAAAGATATCAGAAAAATTTCACGTTGAAGATTTATTCACTGACGTAATGGAAGGTAGATTTAGCAGACAAGGTAGTTTGAGAGGTATTCCTCATAAAAAAGCCGTCTTAGAAGCATTTAGATCAATGGAAAATATTTCGAATCACACATTAAGCCCATACGAGTTTGCTGTGACTCAGTTAAATGATTTTACAGTAGAAAATAAAATGAAAAATGCTCAGACATACCTTAGTGAGTACCCATACTTGCCAACAACCAATCCGTCCGAGTATCACTCGAGATTAGATGCTAAAGCTTCGGGTTTAATATCATTTAAAGAGCTTCTATCCAAGAAGGTACGAAGGAACAGTGTGCCAGATTTAAGATTAAATCCATCATTTGCCGTCGACTTATAATTTTTTTTATTTTAATAATATTTTTGTGAAATGAAATTTCAGTATTCAATGGTACCTTTTAATTTACGTTATACTCAAAGAGTTACAAATAAATGTACACCGAGAAAAATATTCTCTGCAAATTATATGTAGTTTAGTTATTTATAATATGGACATAGCTGAACGGTATTGTTATGTAATGGTTATCTCTTAAGTACTCGTATTGTGAATTGAATTTTTCGTTTTATATTTTCGTTAAGTTTTTGTACAATTGTACAGATGTTGAATCTAATACTAGTAAATAAGAAATAATTATTTATTAAACATTAAAATGATTAAAAATATGCCTCGACTTTATTTTTTTAGTCTCCTTTTTCAATTTCCTAATTGATTTTAATATACCTATTATCCATAAAAACATTCTTTATCCATAAAACAATTTCCAAAACATTAAAAAAGAAATTATTTTGAATTGTAAATAGCCTGCACTTGATTCTATTTATTCTATACATGCCTAAAAAAAAATCATATAACAATCCACTGCACCACCCAAGCATCATATATATCCATCCAAGTTTAAATGAATTCATACTCTGTACACTCTTGATATAGTGTGATAAAAGGAATGGTTCGTAAACAAAACTACAAGAATTAAATATAAACACTTTATATTTAAACTCATACATAAATTACTCATATAGCATACATGTCACTACCCATAAATTGAAGTGACTGATTTCATTTCCTAAACAATATTTTATGAACAAGGCAATTACAAAATAAGGCGTAATTTAATGAGTAAATTAAAAGGTATTATTATTTAATGATATGGGTGTATAACTAAATGATGTTTACAAGTAAATACTACTATTTAGACTCAATTAAAATTAAATTCAATGTCTATCTCGTTTCATTATTTTTGTATATTACACAACACATTGAATAGAACTAAACTAACTAATTAGTCCGTCGCGCTTTTCTAGTGCGTGGTGGCGTAGTTTTCGTACACTACACGAAATATTTTATTCCTAAGACACGCAGGTTTTCTAACGATATTTTTCTTCACCGCCGTTCGGCGGACGTTACTATGGGTATGTTCCGAAATACAACGCAGTGTACTGTCCAATGCAAATGACGTCATGAAAAGACGCAATACTGGTGATTCGTTCCAAAACATTGGACAGTATATGACGTCATACTTTTGCGCCATTTGGAAAAGTGTTGGCGATTATTTTGTCATTTTGTGCTCCAAAAATCATTATATCCTCCTAATGGATATACCATCAATTATTCTATAATTTTTTGTATTTGAATATAGAAACAAATTCTGGCATGCTTCATTCGGCAAACACACAATTAAAAATTGTTTTATTATGGCCGGATATCCGACACAATATGGCGGAGGCACGCTAGTACAATAAAGTGTCAAATGATACGTCATTTGTATTGGACAGTACACTGTGTTGTATTTCGGAACATACCCTATGTTATACATATTTTGACATAAAGTAGTACAGCCGGCCTCTTTTAATTTCTGAGAGGGTTGGGCAAAGAAATCTCAGCCGCGCTACCCACCACTGCGTGTTAACGAACTTCAAATGTCTTCGAAATATTGTTTTTCTTATTTCTCAGACATGCAAGTTTCCTCACGATGTTTTCCTTCACCGCCGAGGACGTGGTAAATCAGCACTTAAAATTGCAATGAATAAATTCTATGGTTCCGGCGGGGATCGAACCCAAGTTGCTCGCGTTCCGTACTTGGTCCTGAGCTACTACGGATGACATGCTAGTATTTATTTTATCTTTTAATTCCTCGTTAAAAAGATAAAATAAAATCTATCTATTTACGACGAACAACATAGAGTAATGGGAATAGGGAAATAAGTACAAAACATGTATGTACTCTAAGTTGTTCACTATGATTTCACTGTCATCATTTCATTGTGGTGAGTAATTGTAAGTTCGTTAATTTTTGTTTAAAAAGCTACAAAATATATTTTAATGGAAACTATGTTATTAAATATCGAATGAAATCTTGGAAAATATTGTCATTTATTTTTTACGATATGTGAGACGAAAAAGCTATGAACATACACAATAAAATCTTCCTAATAAAAAAGTGCGTTAACTTGGCGTGGTGATATCACCTCCTACCAGGCAATCTATGGGAGGCCTATGTTCAGCTGTGGACTCTTGATAGGCTGTAACGATACACAAAACACGGAGACAATCTTTTAACGAGTGCTAAAATTAAAAAGTTTTATGACTTCAATTTAACCCCTCAATCCCAACAAAATCCCATGCAGTCGCATTCGCCCGGCAAATCCCGAGCGGTCGCATGCGACCGCACCCACCCGCAGTACTTAAAACCATTAAAACGTATATTTAGAGACTACTTTTCTATGAAGAAGTTTGGCATTATAAAATCTATACAAAATTCTCTATATAAAAGTCAGGTTTTACTTCTTTACAAAAAGACTATTGTATTTTGATAACAAAAACAAAACATACCAAGCGAATGTCGGCAGCGCGAAAATCACAATTATTTCAATATATATTACTCGATATTATTTACGTAAGAAGATAAATTATATTCATACAAATACTCTCACTACAATTTTATAATAAAACACTATACTAAAACACTAATAAAACACTAGAAAAATCCAAAAATCAACAAGCGAAAATGACGTACGAAATGAACGAAGATTGTAAATAAATATCCGTAGGATAACTTGACTTTTTATTGGACTAGAGGTTAGAAAATATCATGTTGATTCTATAATGCCAAACTTTTTAACAGAAAAGTAGTCTCTAAATACAAGTTTTAATGGTTCAAAGTGCTGTGAGTGTGCGCGGTCCAATTCGACCGCTTGGGGACTGAGGAGATAAATAAAATGAGAACATCATCAATGTAGTCGAAGTCAATTAAATACGCATTATTAAGGATAACTCAAAAACTACTGGTCAGATCTGATCAAATTTATATGGTACTACATGAGAAGCACCAGCTTTTAAATAAAAAAAAATCACGTAATCTTTCAATAATCATCTAGGAAAATGTTCTGAGGTAATACACGAAAAAAATACAGTAAAATTGAGACCTTCTCCTTTTTCTGATATCGGTTGAAAACGATAAAAACAAACTCTAGAGACCCCATAATGGTGATTTTTGGACTGACTGCAATAACTCTTAAATGAGAAGTTAATAATTCTATTCAACGAATTAATTTTGATAACAAGTAGTAAAATTAAAAATTTTGTACAACTGACTACTACATAAATAAAACTTCATTAATGTAATCGAAGTTAATTAAATACTCATTGTTAAGGATAACTCAAAAACTACTGGTCAGCTCTGATCAAATGTATATGGTAATACATGAGAAACACCAGCTTTCAAATAAAAAAAGAATCTTCAATATTGGTTCACCTATAAAAAAGTTCTGAGGTACACACAAAGTAAACAATCAGTCGAATTGAGTACCTCCTACTTTTTGAAGTCTGTTAAGAAGTAACAAACCAGTAACTTTCATTTACGAATTAATATAAAAGTTAGAGTAATATTTACACAAAATGTACAGATCTAAATCTATTTTACAAAAACAAACGAAAACAGTGCAATCACTTAATATGTATTTGGACATATGTAGAGGCGGCATCAGCTCGCCTCCATTGCAGCCAGGCCGCCACCTGAGGGTCTGAACGATCGCCTCTAGCTTCCAACTGTTGGTAATACGCCTCGCGGATAATACGAAAAGCGTCCACGCTTCTGTATGGCAGCTTTGTTATCGGGTCTATATAACGTGCTGGTCGCCTGGAAAATAAGTCAATATATCAAAAAAGATTATATAAATATTCGATATGATTCAATTTTGTGCACATCTAAATTAGGTATGCAAAACTGAAGTGTCTAAATGTAATATCAAAGCAACTAACTGTTCTCTACACTCACCATACGAAACACAGCAGCATTAAGCTGCTATTTTACGTTGGTATTCTGTGAGAGCGTGGCCCTTCCCCGGCCGAGCCGACCCATTCATGCTACAACCATAATAGCTGCAGCGTGGATGCATTCGTGGTCCATCATTTTCTCTAAGTTTACATGCTTCCACTTAATGCTGCAGTGAAAAATCAGTAAGAACAAATCACATGATTAGGCTCTACTGCATATTTCGCCTATATAGTAATATCTCCGAGAAGTTAAATTGAAACTTTTATTGTAGCTCCTTATAAAGCTGAGAACAAATTATCGGACACGTCCGTCAGCCGCGGCTGACAGACGCGGCTTATTGAAATCTAGCCAGTACATTTAATACTACACTGTGCAAACTATCGGTCGTAAGATACGGACATGACCTTGCGTCGCTCTTGAGCGTTCAGACGTCCGAACAGAATCTGGCCGGCTGGATGTTTGTGCGTCCGCGGACAGTGTGAACGGGGCACGGGACGTGTCCGTGGACGTTTTGAGTGTCACAATCGAACCAACTGCGCTCGCGACATGATGTGTGATGAAGAAAAATTAATTGAATGTGTTCGTGGCCACGAATGCTTATGTATAACTAAAAACTGCAACACTATAAATTCATTCATACTTAAGTACGTTTTGTAACGTTTATCACTTTGTTCTAAGTCTGGATACAATGTATGAAATTCATCATACTAGAGTTGTTTTGCATTAATATCATGGACCCAAACACTCCTTATCACTTTTTTTTTTGGAGGACAACATAATGAAGCTGCCGCTAACTTTATAGATTCATCGTCGCTGTCGCTGCTTGTCATGTTTCTCGGTTGACAAACCTTAATGGAATAACCGAAACGAGGCGTCCGAAGACGCCGTCTCGACTACCGTGCACACCGCTAAACCGCGTCTGCCAGCCGCGGCTAACAGACGCGTCCGATAGATTGTTCTCAGCTATAATACTACCTTTAATTGAAATAGAAAGAGATAATAGATATTCTCTACAGAACAGGTGAAAAGAGTATACAATGTCATTTAAAAAAAAATACTGCCAATT